AAGTAAGAAGGTGTGGCAAGCCCCCCCTCGAGATGAGGCGGTCGCTGCACACCTCTACCTGCCATCTGCCTGGCAGATGTGAGAGCGCTTCGTTGCAGCTCAGAAGTCATCGCAGGTCATGCGCCACTTCCTGCCTAAGCGCTCCAACCCTGTGGAATGAGGCTACTCGCTCCAGTTCGCTCACAGGCCACCTCGCTTCAGAGGCATTATTCAAACTTCGGTAAAGGACAAGAATACTTGTGTTCTCCGGTCTGAAGTGTAAACTCTGCTTGCAAAAGAAACCATGGAAACGGTTCCTCTAGCAAATAGCGAGTCAGGCTTTTACAGACGCTACTTCCTCGCTCCAAGAAACCTAAGCACTTTATGAAGTGTACATACGTGGCTCCTTCCCCTATGAGACAGATGGGAATCCACATTATGAATTACCTAAACGATTGGCTGGTCTTAGACAGATCGGGATAGGAACTCATCGCTCACTGGTCGCTACTGCTTAGCCACCTGGAGCAACTTGGAGTAAAATTCTATTTCCAGTGAGTAATCTTTCTGGGGACAGTTATTGATTCTGCCCAGATGCGGGCATGGATTACACCGGAACACTCCCTGATAATTCAGCGGCTAATGGTGTCATTCAGACTTCTCAGGGCTTTCCAGAGAATACTCCACCTCATGTCAGCCGCTTCCTCTGTGATTCCTGTATTGGTTCAAAAAAATGTTCGTCAACAAAGTTTTTTCCCCTGACTAAAACGAGATGATGACGAGACGATAATAAGGTCATTAAATGATAACTGAGACTATATCAACATGCAATAGTGTTGACAAAAAAAAGAGGAAACTAAAATGTAGTTAAAAGAATGAAAACTTTACCAAAACCTTTAATTTTTTTTTAAGTGGAGCCAAAACATTTCAGACTGCTGTAAAATACTCTATTATGTGAGCGTTCATGTTTGCGGTTGCCAGATATCAACAGCTCAAATCCCTCAATCAGAGCTTTTCTGTTATTACATGGATACGTACTCTGCCCAGCTTTTTGCTTTATGCAATCTGGCAACCATTCACACATGCTCTCTCTGCAGAGGCGCCATGATCGCTGGAGTTCAGCGATCTCCATTTGAGGTATTCTGCTTAAATTAAAGTGTCATTTAGCCAGTCTGTGTTGTCATGGATCTCGACTGTATTGTTTGCGATTGTGGTTTGCTGATTGTAACGTTACTTACGCAACCTCTGTGCGGCATAAGTATTTTTTGCCATTGTTTTAAAAGAGAAACAGTAATGCTATTTGGAATTATTGGAATTACTATTATGAATTTCTCTGTTATAATATTTGAGAGTAGGATTTTGTTACACCAGTTTTCATTATGTAGACAGGGCGAGTGTATGTCTAAAGTCTTTGGTGTTTATTTAGCCCAGTGATGGGCAAACTTGGCCCTTCCAGGCCACTTTCCTGCAGAGATTTGATCCAACCCTGATAAAACTCACCTGCCTGTAGCCTTCTAGTAATCTTGAAGACAATGATTAGCTGGTTCAGGTGTGTTTGATTAGGGTTGAAGCTAAACTCTGAAGGAAAGTGGCCTGGAAGGACCAAGTTTGCCCACCCCTGATTTAGCCTCTAATCGATATCCTGTTATAAATCTGTACACTAGATTAATTAAAATAAACCATGCATATGAGTCAATATTCTATTAAATTGTGCTTATTGGTGAAAGAGAAACTTCTGATGAAATGTAAAATAAAATTTACCCAAATAACATCAATCATTGCAATTAAATTGAGCAAAATAATAATGTTTATCATTCTTACTTCATTTATAAAGTAAGACGAAAATATCAGAATCAGAATCAGAATGAGCTTTATTGCCAGGTATGTTTACACATACGAGGAATTTGTTTTAGTGACGAAAATGTGTACGTTTTCATCATTAAAAAATATGACTAAAAAATATTTCGTCACTAAAAAATATGACGAAAATGTGTAAGTTTCCACTGACTAAAACTAGACTAAAATGCTCAGACATTTAGTCGACTAAAACTTGACTAAAACTAAAACAGGACAAGTTGACTAAATATGATAAAAACTAAAAGTTACATTTGACACAAGACTAAGACTAAGACTAAATTAAAAATAGCTGACAAAATTAACACTAGTTTCAACCAGCCGTCCCGTTGGGACTGACCTCCAGATGGAAGGTAGTCATGACAGATGCCTCCAACTTGGGTTGGGGAGCTCTGTACGAGGGCAGGCTGGCGTTCAGATTCTGGTCAAACCTGGAGTAGCGCTTACACATCAACTGCCTCAAGAAGATGGCAGTTTTTTCTGGCCCTAAAAACTTTCCTGCCGGCCTTAAGGGGGCACCACGTCCTGTTCCGCTCAGACAACATGACAGTGGTAGCCTATATCAATCACCAAGGCGGTCTCAGGTCATGCTCCCTTCACAGGTTGGCTCGGAGCCTAATGTTATGGGCACAGAGCAAACTCCTCTCACTCAGAACAGCTCATGTGCCGGGCAGACTGAACCAAGGGGCAGACATGCTGTCTAGAGACAACGTATCTCCAGGAGAATGGAGTCTACATCCTCATATGGTTCAAATGATTTGGTCTGTCTTCGGGAGAGTAGAGGTGGACCTCTTCGCCTCAGAAGACAACTTTCACTGCCCAATTTATTTCTCGAGACAGCGAGATGCCCTGGTCCATGATTGGCCCAGCGCTCGCCTGTACGCCTTCCTTCTGATTGCCCTGCTTCCTTAGGTCATCAGACGGGTCAGGGAAGTCGGATGCTCAGTTCTCCTGGTGGCCCCACTCTAGAGGAATCAGATGTAGTTCCCTTGATGAGATGTAGAGTTGATCCTGCTGCTACCGGCAGCTCCTTGGCCAATACCACTGAGGAAGGACCTTCTCTCGCAAGCAAAGGGCATGATTAGGCGTCCCCAGCCAGAGATGTGGAGCCTTCATGTTGGCCCCTCGACGGTAGACTTTGCAGCTCCCCACGAGTGTGATGAACACCATTTTAGAGGCTAGATCACCGTCTACAAGACGCCTTTACACCCTTAAATGGTCAGTCTTCATTGACTGGTGTACAGCATGGAGCCTGGACCCGTCCTCTTGTGGCATGTCCCACGTGGTAACCTTCTTACAAGAGCTGTTGGATAAGGGGTGCACCCCTTCCACACTCAAAGTCTATGTGGCAGCCATCACGGCGAATCATTCTCTCGTGGCTGTCCAGTCAGTTGGCAGAAACGACCTAGTCGTTAAGTTTCTGAGGGGAACTCAGAGATTAAATCCACCTCTCCCTCATACTGTGCCTACTTGGGACTTGTCTATAGTCCTCATGGCCCTACGGGGCCCTCTCTTTGATCCGCGGTCAAGCAAGTGGGTGACTTGCAAGTACTGTCAGTCAGTGCTTCCTGTCTTGAGTTTGGGCCTAACGACTGTAGAGTTGACCTCAAACCGAGACACGGCTATGTGTCAAAAGTGCTCTCTACTCCATTCAGAGCTCAAGTTATCACCCTTCTAGCATTCCCCATTGCAGACGGTGAGCAGGGTCCCAATCCACTCTGCCCAGTTCTATCCCTTAGAGTGTATGTTGAGCCCTCTGATCTGTTCAGACACTCAGAGCAGCTCTTTGTATGCTTCGGAGGCCGCTCTAAAGGGCTGCCGGTCACGAAGCAGAGACTTATCACGCTGGATAGTGGATGCTATAGCCTTGGCTTACACCTCAGCAGGCTTGCAGTGCCCTATAGGTGTGAGGACCCACTCCACCAGAGGAATGGCCTTCTCATGGGCTTGGTCCAGCGGGATTTCTTTTGGTGAGATTTGTGCGGCCGCCGGTTGGTCGTCGCCGTCTACCTTTGACAGATTCTATAACTTGGACATCCCTGCCCTGCTGGCATGGATTTTGTCTGCTTAAATTCTACCTAATCCCCTTGCAAGTGGAGAAGGTTATGTAGTCCTCAGCCTAAAGGCTCGGGTCTCTTTATGTGCTCATGCTTACAGGAGTCCTCAGTACAAGCGCTCCAGGGCTGGGCTCACAGACCAGCTTCGTTCTGCACCTGCTTATAGCATGCGTTGTTGGATGCATTCCCTATAGTGTCAGCAATGCAACAGGAGAGACCGTTCGATAGGGAACGCTCAGTTGCCGTGCCAATTTTACAGTTGCCGTGCTATAAGGCTGCACGAGAATCGATGACTGTCGCTTCAGTCGAAAGATTCTGATGAAATGGCGCTCTGAGCCAACTTATATAGCGGTCGGCTCCTCCCCTTCTGGCAGGCTAGAGTGCCATTGGTTTGTGCTGCTACACAAACATGAGCAAACCAGGCTTCAGTAACAGAGTAAACAGGAGTTTCCCCATAGCGTCAGCGATGCAATGCTCGTTCCCTTATCTCAGGGAACCGAGGTTACATTAGTAAACGGAGCGTTGTTTTAATGTTTTTGTTAGTTCTTCCTGTCTGTTGTTTTTATTTCCTGTTTATTTATCCTATATTTATTCATTTTATTATCAGTGTCTTGTCTTGTCACTGTCTTCTGTTTGTGCTGTGGAAGCTTCTGTCACCAAAACAAACTCCTTGTATGTGTAAACAAAGTAAAGCTCTTTCTGAATCTAAATTAACTGGTTTTATTCAAGTCAAAAGTATTATTTAACATCACTGCACCAATATGTACATTAATTTATTCCAACAAAACAAAATATAAATGTTAAATCAGGTACAAATAGCACTTTAAGGTAACACTTGCAGGTTACCACTTTTTACAATGTGTTTCTGGCCCCATGAATTATGCACTGATCTTAAATCGCCATCTAGTGACCATTTCTCTACACAACAGACTTAATAAATAGGCAATTTTATTGCGTCTTGCACGCTAAATTAATGACATTAAATCTTTGAAAGAAGCTTTCAACAGCAAATAAACTAGATAAGCATGAGTAGAACTTAATATGTTTGCAAAGTTACACAAATTTTTATAAATATTTTGGCAGTCGACAAAAGACACATGTAGGCCCCATGATTATTTTTTATTAGGCACTGAACAGGTGTTCAAGAATAATAATTCAAAGATGTGTGTTTACGGTGAGCAATAATTTTGATTTCATAGCCCAATGTATGCTGGGCAAATAAGTTTTAGGAAAGATACAAGGCGGAAATCATTCATTAACACGCCAGCTTTTGATCACTGACAAAAGCATTTTCTGGAAATACAAAAATATTGATTTCTTTTCAGGCAGACAGAAAGGAATTACCTTCCCAGTGTTTTTTTCCACACATTTCTGACATTCCATCACATTTTTTCTATTACACCGATAAAGAGGGACTTCTGCATTAATCTGTAGGAGATCTTTTTCCATATCCTTCCTCCAGGCGTCCTTCTGCCAAATATTTTCAAAGACAAAAACATTCATTCCTTCTTTTCGCATATTTTTCCAGTTCGAAAGGCCATCCAAAATATTGTCTGTGTTCTGTATGCACTTTGTCACACAAGGTGAGTTGTACGAATAGAAAACTACACAGCTATTCTGATCTGTCTTTTTTAAAAGTTTGTCCATGGGAGAATTACCGAGTGGATAGAGCAGAATATGCTCAGAATGTTCCTTTGTCGTTCCATTTGGCCTCGTAGCTATGACATTGCTTGACGTTGTGCAGAGGACACATTTCTCTCCTTTAGTGATAACATCTTTTACATATTTTGCATCCTCCTTGCTGAACACAGTCTCGATTACAGCTCCTTCTTTCGTACACTGATCCTGTGGGACAGAGATCGCTATTGCATACTGAGCATCAGCCTTTGGCTGGACACTGTAAGACAACACAATATCACAATTCTCATGAAGCACTGTATTTACCTTGTTCCTCGTGCATTTTTTACATTCAGACTGCATGTAAATGTATTTTACTCATTTAAAACTGAACTATCGATACACTTGATAAAAAACTGACTTACTTGACATCAAAATACTGGATCATATTAGCCAGGGCAGCAGGGCTCACATCGCCCTGAATGCTTTGAACACACAGATGAAGCAGGCAGAGGACGATGAGACCCCTCAACAATGCCTAAAGTGAAAACATCACTTATTTCAGCACAAAACCTGTGCTAAATTCTTGCAGGGGTGATATGAAGGACAAGAGTGTTTAACAATAGAAAAGAGAGTACACTCACTGAATTGAAACTTACCATTGTGACTGCTTGAATTATGAGGAAGAAGATGCTTATATTTTCAGATCTGAAGCGCTGTTGTTTCTCTTCTGATATGCTGATGGTCAGGAGGAATTGCGGCATATATAAAGACCTCACTGGTTAATAATTTACAAATCTGCTCAGTGTTTAACTAGAGTGGTTGAGATTTTGTGCTTCTCACTTTTGCTTAAGATAACTGATAACAGGCCCAAAAGTGTGAACTAGTTCATATCTTCTGCATTGACTTGTCAGACTTGTCATTTAATGGCAAAGCTCATTGTTTTTGTCATACCATCACTGGAATTTTGGATTTATGATATGTATTTATACCAAACTGGTTATGTACCAGACAGATTTTTTTTTCCTGAAGTTTCATTGAAAAATGAAGAGCAACAATAGATCAAGTGTTCTTCTCTTGACTTTGTTCGTGTTTCACTGAAGTTTTTTTTTTTTAACCTTTGGCCGATACAAGCAGCATCAAGGTTTATTCACACCGGTTAGGGCTGTTATTGTACACTTTCAGTGTCAAAAGACCGATTTCAATATGTGGACAGACAATTTTCTTGTTACTGGAAGTATATGACATTGCATCTGGTTTGGACATGTTGTCGCATATTTTATAAAAGGCAAACATTAGAATTTAAGGTGCCTTATTATGGGGACACAGGAAGTGTCCTTATAAACCATGCTTACGTTGTAGTACCCATGTAATTATACACATTTGTGTCCTCATAAACCATATACTAGAACACACACACACATACTATTACTTATATGCACAGTGATGAATCGTTAATGAACAGTGTTGTGGAGCCACTGCATGGACAAAACAAGTTTTATTTAGGTCCAATACATACAGTGATGTGAAAATCATTCATTAATATACAAAAACAGTATGATTATTGACATTAAATGTTTTTTTAAGACACACAATTTTGATGTAACTTCTCACTGCCAGCATCTCCACACTTATAACATTGCATTTGATTATTATTCTCTACACATCGATAGAGAGGCACTAGATTATTAATCTTTGCAAACTGCTTTTCCAGATTCTCTGACGAAGCAGTCGAGTCACCATGCCAGATCTCTTGGAAAATGAAAGCTTTAATCCCAGTTGTCTGTGTGTTTAGCCAGTTTGAAAGGCCATATGTAATACTGTCATCTTTATCGTTAATGCATTTTGTTATGCAAGGTGAGTTGTAAGTATACAAAACAACACACTGATCATCATTTATCATGTTCAAAATTTTGTCCAGGGGAGATGTATTTGCAGCATCTTTAGGATAGATAAGAATATACTCAGAATGCAGTGTTTCTTTAGAATAACTAATTTGCATCCTACTCGGCTTTGTAGCAGTTAGACTGACTGAGTCTTTGGTGACTTCATATATCCTTCGTTGCTTATTGGTCTTGAAATCATTGAAGGCATTTTTCACTTCATTCGTGCTGAAGACTGAATCAAGACTAAACTTGTCTGTGCACTGTTGATATGGGACCCTGATGACTACAGAATACTGATTAGGAATGTCATGCAAGGTTGGCTGTAACCTAGAAGACAAATCACAAAGTTATTACAGTTTTTAAAAACTCAAACTTGTTTTTGAGAGAGAAGCAATTTAATTGTTTTGCTGCTTTTGTACATTCAGCATTAAAACATTTCAGGATTGTATTTATTTTTAACTCATAACTCGCAAATATTGACTTACTTGTCATCAAAATACCGGATCATTTTAGCAAGAACCTCAGTGTTCACTGGCACCTGATCGCCTTGAATACACAGATGAAACAGGCAGAAGATGAACAGCCTCATTGGCTCAGATGCCTAAATTAAAACGACAAACCTGATAAACAAAATAACAAGCAACAAAACTAAAAAACCATGATGGCCATGCTTACCATGATGAATGTTAGAGAAGGGGAGACACTTCTGAGCACTTCAGAGATGATGTGTCGGGTCCCATCCCACTGAGAGAATATTTATTCTGGGATCAGCCATATGCAAATTAACTACTTGTAATTTTTAAAAGGGGAGGTTGTATAAATGTTCGTTAAACTGTTTGACATTTGCATGCAATTCAGTTCATATCATATTGGAAATTACAGTGATAAACTTAGTAGTACAAACTAGTAGTATAAGAACTTAAACATCATAACAATGAATGTCCTCTCTGCTGGATTCCTGCAATAGACTCGTCCATCACTAATGAGTCAAGTCTCATTCATTTATATAGCGCTTTCTGTTACAAAGAAATAAACAGTAAAATAAACAGTGTTGAAAAATTTAAACAATTATAAAATGACTTTACTTTCTGCTGTAAAACAGCATTCCGAAGATAGTGTCATTATCCAGTTCAGTTCAGTTCTCATCCAGTAGTGTCATCTTTGGTCTCATCTAGTGTCAGTTGTCATGATGCACACACACGAGGAACGAGGAGACGCTGGAGAATACTTTACCAAGACTTTATTTACAGGAACCAAGGGAGACGAACTCAGGAAGACGTTTAACAGCGGACAGAGAACTTGGGACTGGGAACACTTTTTATACACACAGGAGGAGGGGATGACGAGACACACCTGGGATACAGTCAAAGGTAAATTTTTTAAGCCCCATTTCAAGCCCCAACTGATCAAACCAAAGGACTTTGTAAATACTGGACTAGTAAATATACTGTACTAGCAATACTTCTTGATTGCTCTAAGACTTCATACAGAAAGATAAATGCTTTTTTCAGCTCATTCGTACGGTGACCCAGTAGTGCAGACAACGGAAACAAGCCACAACACAACGAAATAAAGCCACAACACAACGAAAACAAGCCACAACACAACTAAATAAAGCCACAACACAACGTAAATGCTCCCGACCACTAGAAGGCAGTTGGTTTGTGGAAACGGGCAATTGCTCGCATGCGTTTTCACAGGCGGTCTGGATGCTGGATGCACGGGCGGTGACTGTGAATATATGTAAAAAAAAAAAATTTCATAAAAGTTAATATCAAATTGAAAAAATAATTACACATATTATGCTCACATTACTTACATAGAGAATCTCTTCGTGTCCCGAGGAAATCGGCTTCTCAGTGCCGACACTGCCCCCTAGTGGTCGGAGCATTTCCGTTGTGTTGTGGCTTGATTTCGTTTTGTTGTGGCTTAATTTCGTTGTGTTGTGACTTGTTTCCGTTGTGTTGTGGCTTAATTTCGTTGTGTTGTGGCTTTTTTTCTTCTTTTTTATTTCATTGTGTTGTGAGCTTAAGTTTGCTTTCTTTATTTCGTTGTGTTGTGAGCTTATGTTTGTTTGTTTTTGTTTTTTTATTTCGTTGTGTTGTGAGCTTATGTTTGCTTTTTTAAATTCGTTGTGTTGTGAGCTTATGTTTGCTTTTTTAATTTCGTTGTGTTGTGAGCTTATGTTTGCTTGTTTAATTTCGTTGTGTTGTGCACAACTGGGCCACTGTAAGTAACAGTGTATGAAGCACAGTTCACACTGAAGTCATTTTAAATTTGTCACTTGATGGAGTTTGGTTTCCTTGCTACCATTGTCATTGGCTTGCTTATAGTTGTGTTTCGTTGTGTTGTAAACTTATGTTTCCTTTTTAAATTTCGTTGTGTTGTGCACTACTGGGCCACCGTACATTCGAAATTGAATCAACTGAATCTGCTTTGATTTCTGTGCAAAGGTTTTTTTGTAACTTGAAAGAATATGTGTTAGTTCAGGTGTATGTAAAGGTCATTTTGCATTGAACCACCTGATATGAATTTGTCCTATTTTGCATTAATTGCATTTAACATACATAAATTTGACTTTGCAGCACAGAAAATGCATCTTAAATGCATTTGTTCTGCTGCTCTGTTGTCATTCTGTGTTCAAAGGTTTCAACACAATTGATATGTGAAAACGTTAGCAATCCACAATGAACAGAAAATGAAATAAGCTTAAAATTATCTAAAAGTTTAGAGTAGACTAACTACACACATCACAAACCTGTCTTTTTAGGCAAGTACCAGATATGGGTGTCATGTCATAAAATATTTTTAATACTACTGAATTTGTATTTAACGTGATCACAATTGAATAAAACATTGTAAGTTACGCTTTAATTTCCACTTTTATTCACACAGTGAATAAATTACATGGAGAAACCAAACAAAGAACATTTACATTATCAAAGAACATTATGACTTTTAAAAACTCTCAAAAAAAGCTGTCTACATTTTTAAATGAATCTCTTACATTGTGCGTATATCTGGACTTTGTTGTTTATGATGAGAGAATCTGCGAGAGTGCAGAATTCAGTCAGTGAGCGCGGGCACTGAACAAATCTCCGGCGTTTCAGCGGTGACTAATCTGAACACCTCTGATTGGTCATTGCATTCATAAACTCAACGGAATCGTGTGTGATTGTTTATCATGCGCACCGCTGAAATAGATAAATAAATAAATATTCACCAAAAAAAAAAAAAAATGATACAGCATGAGCCGATAAATGACACTTTTCATTACAGTTTCACATTATTCACTTTATTTCGCTTCAGTCACTTTCACTAAGGTGACTTAAGTAGGGAGAGTGGGAGGTAAGCCATCAGTAGCCCATTTAGGAAAAAAGATAATATAATAACATAATTTTTTCTGTCCAACTAGCTTACATAACCACACAGTAAAATGTAATTTTGTAATATAATGTAATTTTTTTAAATAACCGTAACATCACTCACTTTATTAATGTTTTTACTGTACAGTTGTGCAGTACATTTGTATTTATTTAATATATACATTTATATATACACATTTGTAATAATTTAAATATATACTTTAAATAAAAAAAGCTAAATTTATGTTAAATTAATTCTATTTAGGGGTGGCAGAAGGGGTGGTTCGCCCAGGGTGCCATAGAAGCTAGCACCGCCACTGCCTGACAAGGTTGTTCATCATTGGTGCATGCTGACATTGCTTTGTTATATGCATGACAGTTTTATTCACAAATCGATAGAAGGGAACATGACTCACAATCTCTGTAAAGCTTCTTGTGAGATCAGAGCATTCATGGCCACTTTCATCAACCTTATAGACTTTCTTGAAAACCAAGGCTTTAATTCCAGTGTGATTTTTCAAGTTTTCAAGGATTGGTATAATGTCATATCCACCTGACATCTTTTGACAGGGAGAGTAGACGGTGTAGATGACAACACAGCTATCATTTTCTTTATGTTGTAAGAATTTTTTAAAGGTTGAGAATGAGTCATTTTTGTGCAGTGCAGACACTGACTGACTTGTGCAGTTTTCTGATTTTTTACAATCACAAAGATAAGGTCCTGCTGCCATGAGGTCTTCACCCTTGTAAAATTTATTTTTTGTTATTTTCCTGAGTCAGGAAGTTCTCATTTAAAGGATCAAAGTTGCCTTGACATTGATTCCTCGGTACATTGATGGCTACAGCATACGACTCCTCTCTTTGGTGTCTTTATAGCTGTAAAACATCAAATAGAGCAAGATAAGAAGAGTTTTGTGATTACCAGCAGACTAAACGCAGTTTACTAATGACATTTTATTTCTTTACTTCATCTTTGTGCTACATCATATAGTTCAATGCTATTTATAAAACCTTGAGTTTATGCGCTATACTCACTTCTGCTCAAAGAAGTCAATTATTCGGGCAAGATTTGTAAGGTTCATCTTCTGTTCTTCCACACTTTCTGTCCAGCGATGAAGCAGAAAGAGCAGCAGGAGTCCATTCAGAAACACAATGATCCTCTAAAGAGATAAAACATGCGCACACACTATACTTAATAAATAAATGTAACATTTGACACTGCAATTCCTAAAAAACACTTTTTTCTTAGTGTAAAGAACATTTTAATAACCTAAAGTACCTTTGTTTTGCTGTAAAGAGCCTTTTGTGGAATAGAAAGATCTACATGGAACCATCAATGCCAATAAAGAGCCTTTATGATTAAGAGTAAATTACTATATCTAACAAATTGAATGAAAAACAGCGTATAAAACATATATGAACATTACTTACCATTGATGCTGAAGGTTCAGGTCTTCTTCAGAGGCAAGAGTGAAGATGCTTGTGATGTAGAGACTATTTTTTTAAAATACATTTTTGTCTCTCAATACATCTTTGCACATTTCTTTGGAATTTAAATCAATATGGCACTCTGCAATAACTGTAGTTGAAGTTGACCCGATGTCTGTATAAATGAATCACTCTTTGAAATAGTTTCAAGAATCAGTCAAATAGCCATATGCTTTGAATCGGTTCGTGATTCAGTCTCTTTTGAATAATTCACTTGTGGAATGCATTGTTTGGAGCAGTTTCTCACTTCGAGAAAATTTAGAACACAAAAAACAAAAAGGGTGCTGGATGAAGAGAATATTAACCTACAGTAAACTGAATCCAAACCTGAAAATCCATTCATTTGTCAGAGATGTTAAAGGTCTTTTTTTTTTTTGCACATCTGCACGTAGAACCTGTCAATGATGCTGCAATTCAGACAAAACCAGATTTCAATTAAAAGATTATAAAACAGTAGGCTAAAGTACCATAGCATGACCATAGCATGTTTTTTTTTTAAATACATTGGTGTACAAGGTAAATACCGTAGTATGTGAGTATCGATTTGTATAGGCCTATATCAAACTACAGTGATGTAAAGTTTTGCCACCTGTAGTCACACACTTCGCACAGCCCTTGCAACGGGCCACAGAACACCCTGAATGGATGGCCAGCTAACGATGTGAAGGAAAACAGACTCCCTCAGTAGTTTTTTCTGTCTTTAATGAGACACATGAAGCTTATTTGTCACAAGATTTGAGGGCAGACAGCAGTAGGCTACTTATTGACATCGAAATGCATTTTTCTACATTTTGCTATGAGTGTTAACCACACACATTGACTTAAACATTTAAAAAGCTGCTGAATGCATTAATGTGTTAAGTACAAAGAAATTTTGAAATGAATTATGATTAAAAAATCTATTGACGGGTCCAATGTTTTTAAGTTGGAATTTCTGTTTTATTGGGAATCTCTGGTTAAACATAGTATATTACTTTAACATTCTTTTTTGTTTTTGCATCCTGTTATACTGTAAAAAAGCAAAACGGCCTGAAGCTTGAACTCATTGTAACTCATATTAATTCATGCGATAGTTGCAGGCAGACAGTGCGTGTCTATGGGAGTGTTTCCTTCACCTTCACAAGCATAACACTTATTCGCACTCACACAGCGGTAGAGAGGAACATGAGCCACAATCTTCTTGAAGTTCTCTTGAAGATTTTCCTTTGTTTTGTCAGCCCAAAACATATCCTTAAAGACAAAAGCTTTTACTGAACTGTGCTGTCGCCAGTTCTCAAGACCAGACAGAATGTTATAAGGGCTGGACTCATTAAGGCAGGATTTAACACAGGGAGATTTGTACGTGTAGAAGATAGTACAGCTGTCTGTTCGTTTATTCAACAGGTTCGTCATGGGTGGTATGGGAAGGTTTTCGGTAGAAGTGAGTAAAAGACGCTCAGCATGTATGCTGAATCCATCAGACTTTTTAACACCTGCTACAATGAGCTCTTCACCTTCATAAAGTGGACGGATCATTTTCACATTTGGTCTCTCTTTAGTCAGGAAGTTGTTGCGTGTAGGCAGGAAATCCTTTTCACATTGAGTCCTAAGTACATTGATGGCGACAGCATATTGCTGTGGACCCTGTTCACACTAAAAGTCTGATAGCTGTAAAACATGCAAAACATTAAACTCAAGCAAACAACCTAGCATTGTATGATACGATTATTGTTGCCTCCTTGACGTATTTTGCTATGCTTTTGTTCCTCTTTTGTAAGTCGCTTTGGACACAAGCATCCGCTAAACGCATAAACGTACATATTTTGCAGTAACATCAGGGAGACTTACTTCTGATCAAAGAAGCTTACAATACGACCAAGGGTATGAATGTCCACAGTATGTGGCTCTGCACTTTGAGTCAAAAGAAAAAGCAGGAGGAGTCCTTTAAGTGGAGCCATGGATTTCTAGATTTATTTAATTGAAGACACAATTAAATAAGAAATACACCCAAAACAAGTTAAAAAAATTATTAAAATGTGAGAAATAAATAATCAAGCTAGACTGCCTAATGATGTTACTTACCATGGTTGCTTGTGCATTCACACTGGTGTCCTCACAGGATGTGAAGCACAACACCAAACACCCACTGTGTTCATCTTCTCTCATGCTACCACAGCTGCATAAGCTTGTTTTCTTTCTTGCCAGAAATATTAACATGCCCCATAGTGTGTGCATGCATTTTTGAAAATGCTGTTCTTTAAGTATTGTTCTTTTCACTATAAATACAAACACCCTTACATCTGCACATTTTACATGATACCTGCGAGGTCTTCCTGTCTTCTCCCCTTTGACCTCTTATGAGACACATGGACGTGTTTATGAGCATTACTGTGCTTTCATCTTGAAATGAAATTCACACACACAAAGTTTGCTAAACAGACAGAAATATGTATTTGTTCAAGCAGGAAGCAAGATTATTTTTAAAATGCATTTTACTAGTTCATCTAAGCATACTGAATTTCAAAACAAAAGGACAGATCTTAATCACATATGCAAGGAATGAATGTTACTGCATAAATCTTAGTTTTCTGAACTGCAGCCATACTCACGGCTATGTCCTTTTTCATTCTTTGCTCAATATATTAAAAAAAAGAAAAGAAAGAAAAAACAGATGTAAAAGTATGATAAAAAAAAGTATTGATTAATAAATAAATAATGACTAAATTACAAATAAAATATTGGCCTTTATGCATGGATATCATCTTCAGGAAAATTCATAAAACATGAGGGAAACTCACCATTTAATGGGTGAATTCATTAATTTAGTCATGCATACCATCATGGAATTTTGGATTTATTAACAGGCAAAATAAAAACAATTGTTTATATGCAATTAACATTAGAAACACTTTGATTCATTGTTGAGCTGGATATTAAGTGAATGCATAGGTGAGTTCCTAAACATTTTCACACTAGTCCAGTGGGGCCAGTTGCATAAATATAGTCACTAAGTTAAGACTGTCTAAACAACTATTTTGACCAACTAGCTGTTAACCAATTGTTAATCAGTCTTACTTTTCAGATTCAAAATAGACCAATCAGACTTTAAAAAGTTATGACCAGCCTTAAAGAAAAAAAAATAGATTGACTAACTTGTAAGACTAGCAGCAGTTTATGTAACCGGCCAGTGAATGTGACTTTGAGAATAAGCACAAAGATTAACATTTCCCTACACTCTTAAAAATAAAGGTGCTTCACGATGCCATAGAAGAACCTTTTTGTCTAAATGGTTCCATAAAGAACCTTTAACATTTGAAGAACCTTTCTGTTTCACAAAAGGTTCTTTGTGGCGAAAGAATGTTCTTCAGATTATAAAAAGGTAAGAAAGAGATGGTTCTTTAAAGAACCTTTAACTGAATGGTTCTTTGTGGAACCAAAAATGGTTCTTCTATGTCATCGCTGTGAACCTTTTGAAGCACCTTTATTTTTAAGAGTGTATAGCTCTTTATTTACCTTCAGTTTCACTGAAGAGCACACATTTCACTGAAGCTGTTTTTTTAACCTTTGATTCATATTAGCAGCATCAAGGTTACATCAGAATTATACATACACTAATGGGCATAAATTAATGTGTGCATATTTTAAAATATTAGTTGCAAATATATTATATGTAAATATATCGTCCTTCATATATGTAAATATACTGTATATAGTCCTTCACAAAACAAGTTTTATTTAGGTGCAACACATACAGTGATGTGAAAATCATTCATTACATATAACAGTATGATTATTGACATGAAATGCATTTTCATTTTCTCACTGCCAGCATTTCTGCACTTATAACGTTGCATTTGATTATTATTCTTTACACATCGATAGAGAGACACTAGATTATTCATCTTTGCCATTTGCTTTAATCCCAATTTCCTGTGTGTTTAACCAGTTTGAAAGGCCATATGTAATACTGTCACCTCTTTATCATTAATGCATTTTGTTATGCAAGGTGAGTTGTAAGTATATTAAAAAAAAAAAAAACACACACATTGATTATCATTTGTTCAAAATGTTGTCCAAGGGAGATGTATTTCCGGCATCTTTAGGATAGATCAGAATATACTTTAGAAGAACTGGTCATTTGGATCCAGATGAAACAGGCAGAAGATGAACAGCCTCAGTGCCACAGACACCTAAATTAAGACAACAAACTTGATTAACAAAAGAACAGATGACAAAAACCATGATGACCATGCTTATCATGATGAATGTTAGAGAAGGGAGACACTTCTGAGCTCCTCAGAGATGATATGTTGGGTTCACTCGATCCGACTGAGAGAATATTTATTCTGGGATCAGCCATATGCAAATAAACTACTTGTAATCTTTAACAAGGAAGGCTGTATTAATGTTCAATAAACTCTTTGACATTTGCATATAATTTAGTTCATGTCAGTTATAGTTTGCAAATTACAATGATAAACTATAGTGGTATAACTAAAATATCATAACAAGAATATCTTCTCCTGCATGACAATCTGACTGGCTTTCAACTGGCGCTCTCTACATCACACTTTGTGTCACGAATCCGGTCTGTGGGCTTCAGGCCGATTGCCACTAGAGGTCATTCTCCCATTACATTGACTCTCACACCACACAGACTGTTACACATCACCCTGGACTGCATTTCCCATCAACCATTGCACTGATTACACGCACACAGCTGAATGCACTGATCACACACACACACACACACACACACAGCTGAATCCAATCAGACATGCTACATAAGCCATGGACTTCCTCTCTCTCATGGCCGAGTATTGTCTAGTGTTTTTCACTCCCCTGGTGTTAGCTGCCTTACCGAGCCATTCCGTGGTTTCTGTTTTAGTCTCGTGTATTGTTCTGCATTTTCCACTCCCCTAGTGTTAGCTGCCTTACCGAGCCTAGTGTCTTGTTTTCCTTGTTTTCATCATCTTGCCTTGTCTGTTTCCCCGTGTTCTGATCACTGCCTGAGTGCCTGGATTATCCATCTAGTCTCGCCCAATTGGATACTGTTCGCCCCTGCCTGGACCTTTGCCTTGTACCTGGATTATCCCTCTTGCCTTGCCATCAATATACCTGTTTGCCATTGTCTGACCTATGCCTGTTTTTGACCACGTCTCTTGCGAATAAAGCCTTGCAGATGGATCTGCACGCTTCCTGTGTTCCCTTCGTTACACTTTGTAGTCTCTTCTGAAATAGGGCTTTTAGAAACGAGTGTTTGGGAAAGAATACAAATAATCCTCCATTAACATAGACTTGTGCATCAAGCAACAAAACTACATGCAACAGATTTCACTTCAAGTTTATCATTGTGAGAACATGACTGTAATTTCTCTGAGACTTAATTTTTTTGACCAAACTGCTAGATTTTGTTATAGAAGACACAGAAATTGGCGGTTATTAAGCCTCTTATTAAGAAACCACAACTAGATCCTAGTGAACTGGCAAATTACAGACCCATCTCTGAGCTGGATGTTGACATCACTGAATTTAATGATGAACTGTCTTTAACTGAAAAATTTGTGTTTACTATTGTCATTTTGCATTATTGACACACTATTTTCCTAATTAATGCTGTTCAGTTGCTTTGACACAATCTGTATTGTTAAAAGCGCTATATAAATAAAGGTGACTTGACTTGACTTGACTTGACAGAAAGGAACCACGCTAGAGCCACATAAACTTACATAATGACTGCAGTGATTGGCTGTGTTACCTGTCATGAGACTGAAATATAAGACATTATTCACTGTAAACGTCTAGAGATAAACCATGTGTGCTCATACTCAATAACTAAATGTAAAATGTGACACTGACACAGTTCTTAAAAGAACCAATTTTTTTCTTAGTGTAAAGAACATTTTAATAACCTTAAGAAACTTTTTTTTTTTTTCGCTAGAAAGACCCTTTTGTGGAATAGAAAAATGTGATGGATCTACACAGAACCATCAATGCCAATAAAGAATCTTTATGATTAAAAAACATGTAGAGACACTGATCGTTTGGTCTGAAGAGTCTTTTACTAAAAGTGTGTAATGATTACATGAATGCTAGACACTTTATTTGGTCTATATTTTGCCTACTGTGCAAAATATAGGCTTTGGTCGAACAACCTTTGCTGGAGATTAACACGATTGTTTTTAAGGAATAACACATTAAAATGATCAGGAACAAACTGTTTTGTTAAGAGTTAGAAGCACTACACAAAAAGTCAAGATATCCATGAGCAGAATATGTCTGCACACAAATTTGTAATACATATTATGGCAATCGACAAAGGACACATGTATAATTATATATTTTTTTTATTATTTACAGAACAGGTGTTCAAGAATAATAATTCAAACAGGTGTGTGTTTGGTTAATATAATTCAAATTTCATAGCCCAATGTGTTCAAAGAGGTTTATGAAAGATACAATTCGATCATTGACAAAAGCATTTCTTGGAAATACAAAAGTATTGATTTGTTTTCAGGCAGACAGAAAGGATTTGCAGTGTTTCCATTCACACAATTCTGACATTCCATTACATTTGTACTCATACACCGATAAAGACGCACTAGCTTATTAATCATTAGGAAATCATTGGCAATTTCCTTCTTGGCATCCTTCCAGAGCTTTCCAAAGACAAAAACATTCATTCCCCCTTTTCGAACATTTTCCCAGTTTTCAAGGCCCGGAAAAATATTGTCAGCACTCTTAATGCACTTTTTCACACAAGGTGAGTTGTAAGAATAGAAAACTACACAGTTGTTTTGATCTGTATTTTTTAGAAGTGTGTCTAAGGGAGAATTACCTGGAGGAAAGAGCAGAATATGCTCAGAATGTTCATCTGTGACTACATTTGGCCTCGTAGCAGTGACATTTTGTGATGCTGAGCAGCGTACACATGTTTTTCCTTCAGTGATAAAATCTTTTACGTATTGTGCCTCTTCCCTGCTGAACACATTCTCAATATGAGATTGTTCATTTGTACACAGATCCTGTGGGACACTGATTGCTATTGCATACTGAGCATCAGTTCCTATCTTGGTCTTTGGCTGGACACTGGAAGACATAAAATAGTATAAGGTTATAACAATTCTCAAGAAACATTGTATTTACCTTGTTCCTTATGCATTTTTTACATTCAAGCTGCATGTAAATTTACATGCATTTTACTAATTTAAAGCTGAATTATTGATTCATTTGTCTAAAAACTGTACAAACCAACTTACTTGTCATCAAAATATCGGATCATTTTAGCAAGGGCAGCAGGGTTCACCTGTCCCTGAATGTTTCGAACACACAGATGAAGCATGCAGAGGACGATGAGACACTTCAGTGAAGCCTAAAATGAACACATCATTAATTTCAGCACAAAACTTGAATTAAATTCATGCATATAATATGAGGGACAAGAGAGTTTAAAAACAGAACAGAAAAGAAAGTTTACTCAAACTTACCATTGCGACGGCTTGAATTATGAGGAAGAAGATGCTTATTTTCAGAGCTGAAGTACTTTTGTTTCTCTTCTTATATGCTGATGGTTGAGAGGAAATGAGGAATAAAGACTCGACTGGTTTATAATTTACAAACTTAGTGTTTAACTAGAGTGGGTGGGATTTTTGTGTGTTTGTGTGTGCTTCTCACTTTTGTTTAAGATAACTGATAACCAGGTCCAGAATCTGTCAACATTCTTATCTTCCATATCAGGAAATCCAGCAGAATTCTGTAAAATAAGACCTAAACAGTAAAACAATTATGACACAAAACAATTCTCAAAAAAAAAGAACATTTATTTATTAACAGGCAAAATAAAAACAATTGTTTATATGCAATCAACATTATAAACACTTTGATTAATTGTTGAGCTGGCATTAAGTGAATGCATAGGTGAGTTCCTCAACATTGTCACGCTAGTCCAGTGTGTCACAGTTATGTTCTGTTAGATCCATTTTCATGGGCTTTTAGTTTGTTTATCTTCAGTCACATGTTTCCTGTGTTTTAGTTTTCCGCCACTCATCTGTTACCATGGACACTAACTCATCATTTAGTTCATCACCATTGTGTATTTAAGTTCCTCCTTGTGCACTCTTCAGTGGTCTGGTCCCGTTAATGTTAAGTTGTTTGCTTGCCTGCTTGTTGGATTGTTGCATTTTTGGATATGGATTTTTGAACCTGGGGCCTGTTCTTCATACCTCGCTTAATACATCTGAGATTATTTGAAAGATGCCAGATCTGCTAATCGTGATAACTGATCTCTGGCTAATTTTGGTTCTTCAAACGAATTTGTGGATTTGATTAAAATATCTGGATTAAGTTGTCTAAGATTACTGCGAGTTCTCGTGTTCCCCATAAAGTGCAGATGTATATCGATACTCGAAACCACTATCAGCAATGCACGATCAGCAATGCAGCGATTTGGCTGGTGGCAAGACAGCAACGTAATGACACCATAATTAAAAAAAGACACCAGACGAAACTTGACAAATTTCTGGACCTTTATAAGGAAACAGCCAAGTGAACAAAACTACATAAATGTTATAATAGATAAATGAAATGTGCACTGTTTTTATTTTATTTATTTTATTATTTTTACATGATTCCCAATTATTTATAATCATAATTACTAGTATTTGTACAGGCTTTACATTTTTATTTCAATGTTGTAATTAGCAATTAATTGAATTTTATGTTTGAAGAAGATTTGTTATGTGACAGCATTAATTAAAGTTAAAGGTCAAGATCAAGTTATCTGCATCTCCTGCGCTCCATCAAGCCACTCCCATAATTGCTGTCACCACTCAAATTAATGCACGACTCAGATTAACTGTACAGCATGTGTGTAAGTGTCACGAATCCGCCATTTTAATGACTCTCTCACTACACAGACTTTCACATGTCACCCCGCACTACATTTCCCAGCAGCCATTTCAGTAATAACACGTTCACCTGAAACCAATCACACACACTATATAACACCCACTCAGATCCTGTTTGAGTTTTCCATAGTCTAGTCAGAGTCTTGCCTTGCCTGTTTTCTCATGTTCTGATTCTTGCCTGTGCATCCTGGATTACCCCTCTCGTAAATACTCGGCCACACAAGGATTCAGCAGCTTTTCCAATGGAAATGGATGGCGGATTACAGTCCAGGATGAGCTTCGAAGAACCAAATAATCCAAGATCATGCCAAATCGTCAACAATCAAGTCCAGCTAACTGAGTTAGCGATGTATGAAGAACGGGCCCCTGATCTTCATCTTTCTGTGCTTCTTACAACCTAAACGTGACACAGTGGGGACAGTTGCATGAACACAGTCACTAAGTTAAAGGGCACCTATTATGCAAAATCCAATTTTACATGGTGTTTGGACATAAATGTATGTTGGCAGTGTGTGAGCACAACCACCCTACAATATAAAAATCCACCCACTCCTCATTTTGGAGTGGGTCAGTCTCACTAGGCCTGCCGTTTTGATTCTCACCGCAGTGTGACGTCACATTTCGGAGGGCCGGGCTACGGGGGTTGATTGACAGCCCTGCATTGCTATAGTTTCTGCCCTCAGCGGTTACGCTGTCCTCCATTTTCTCCGCGATCTAGCAGCTGTAATGTCAACACTCTCACAAGCAATCCCGATGCTCTGTGTTTGGATGTTAGACTGAACATAAGAGTCTTCATTTTCTCCCAACATCTGAGCTGCTGAGGACGCTGTGGATTACTTTCATTTTTCAAGGTAATGCGCCTCAAAATCTACCTAAATACGTGTATCACTCCAGACTCCTTTGTGAATGTCATGTCGTTATAGTGCTTAGCGTTTTAACCGTATTTGTGTGCGTACATTAAGTATTTTTTAACTGATCAGCTTATGAGATTAACATAGACTAACCATGTTCCGTACACTTTTCGCTATTCGCCGCACGCCAGCGACCACGCCTCCGTTATTGAAAGACAGACAAGCATGTTTGTGTGATCATTCTCTGGGTGAATACCCATTATACAATCCACATTTTGATTGATGTCTTTAGGACCCAATAGTTTTTGAGAAAAGTGGGGAAAAGTACCTCCTCCGCCAGTGTACGAAAAATAATCTCCGACGCGCACGATAATCGCCGACTTTTTACGCGAGGCGTAAAAGCGTAATATTTTAAAAACCACCTCGGGGTCGTTTTTTTGGTTTGACGCGCCGCGTTAAAAACTGCCCGACCAATGAGATTGGCGCTTTTGTTAACGTGCCTGGAGCTGCTGAAATTACAGTAAAACACGACTTGGTGGCGCTCAAGCACAAAACGGTCTTGCCGAGCACACATTGATACCTAACGACGAAGAGGAAGTAAGTAGACCAAGAAGATGCATCGAGGCAAGATGAATGTAGAGCTGCTGGTCTCATTGGTGTCTGAACACAAAGGGCTTTATGACAAATGCGATGGCGACTACAAAAATCTCGATAACAGGGAGTTGTTATGGAGAGGAATTGCAGATCAAATAAGAATCGATGTGTACCGGGGTATTTCTGTTTTTCATTAAGTGCCATCTAATGTCAGGGAGTGAATTTGCACGTTCACTCGGCTCATCGCCAGCGAAAATCGCTTGGGTATGAACACAAAAGACGCGTCGAAAAACGTCGGCGATAAGCGCGCACGATAATCGTCCCGGTGTGTACGAGGCTTAATGGTGTTCCGTACAGCGTGCATAACTTGATTTTATCTGCGAAAATGGACATTTAATTGATCAACTGTGAGCTGTTTATTTATTTTAACTGAAGAAAACATTATTTAAATGAATAAGAAAGATGAGTACCTTTTTATTTGATTAAAATGTAAGTTCATTGTTGCTTTAATAAAGGACCATGCGAGTCAGGCATGATTGTGTCATGATATTAATTATGGCATGTGAGTAAAGCATGAACCATGTGAAACGTTAGTGAATAACATTTCCATATCTTTCTGAAGACAATATGAATATAAACATCATCACTGCATGCAGGATGATGGGCAAACAGCGTCTGTGCTGACAGATGTGCTGCCTCTCTGCTGCCTGTCTCAGGTGAGAGTGGCGCTAAGTGGTCATCGCCCACAATCGAAGTTTAAAAATTCTCATTTCAAAGCATTTATTCAACAAAAGTTCATATATTTAACAATTTGTGATAACGTAATATTCATTTCATAAAGGCTGTAGTACTGTGATAAACATAAATTAAATAGAAATGTAAATTTTCGCTGCTCTAGTAGTCTCCCCACCCGAGCTGCAGTCTTGAAGTGTAGCTTGCCCAGACTGTCGTTGGTGAAAGTCTGCATGGTCCATTTGGTCTTTGGGACTGAGAACTCGGCATCCATTTTTCCCAAACAATTATACTTGTTTTATTCTACTCTATAAGACCTTTCAAATGACATATGACACATGATTATCTGAGCTGTATGATGTTTCTGACATATTAGAGTACATGGCACAAAAAACATTTTTCATAAATTATGAAAACATTTTTTTCTATTTATCTGCAAATAACTCAGCACTACTTAGGAGTTAATCAAAGGGGCCACGTGCATCGTAAAGGTCAGACTCCAAGCTTTCAAATGACACCTATTTTGTGTTGATCAAGGCAGAGAGTTTGAAAAATATGATTATTAATTTTTATTCTTCGCTAGGGGGTGCCCGCTGGCGGTACACTCCGGTTTAGAGGAACTAGGCAGCACTGGTTAGGAGTTGATCATAATGGTTGGATGCATTCAAAAGCTGAATTTCTAAGCTTTAAAATTATACCTAATTATTAAAAAAAAAATATATATATACAGTAGATCTTTATATAAAAGATAAAATAAACAGAAACATTCTAGGTTTTACATTCTGCTCGCCAAGTGTTCAATAGAGCTCTCTAACTTATTTATTCAATTCATGGGTTTAGGTATTATTTACACACGAAAGACGCAATGGATTGTTTTGATTTTGGACTCATTTCAATCGTGAGAATCTGCTGTAAATAATGATATGCCATTTTCCACGATCGGAGCATGTTTTATGAAATGACAAGCATAAAAATCCAAGAGAAAGTTACACCATGTGCGCATTTGGGGTTTTATGTGTTAGAATTCGATGACGAATATCTTTAGATCTAAACGACAGATTATCAGAATCAGAATCAGAATCAGAATGAGCTTTATTGCCAGGTATGTTTACACATACGAGGAATTTGTTTTCGTGACAGAAGCTTCCACAGTGTAACAGAATGACAGTGACAGAACAAAAAAAACACAGATAATAAAAAATAAAAATAAATACAAAATAAAAAATAGAACAAGTAAATAAGGAATAAAAATATATAAATTGACAATTGTATGTGCAGGTATATTACAATAGACAGTTTTGTATGTACAGGTATATTACGTGCAAATTTGAGGTGTAGACTGAGTATGAGTGTTAGATAAATAAGTGAATGAGTGTATAACAATTCATTTACCCTTAGGAAAGACACACAATGCCCATAAAAATGGACCCTTCTCTAATTAATTCATAGAAAAACCTTCCTGTGA